CCCCCAGCCCACTTCTGGACCCTTCACAGGCAATGTTTGCAGAGAGTCAGCTGTTTCCTGTTAGACTAGAGCGTCATCAGTAATGTCTTCTCTCTAGAATTGAGCAGTTACATTCCAGAACCACTTAACAGTGGTCTCTTCAAACAGCTGTATATGCTGAAGCTTCCCTTTCTTGGGGAGAGGTAATCAAGAGAGTGTTTGCTTTATAAACAATAAATATTTTTATATTCTTTACATTTTGAACCTACCAGCAAAGAAGAAAGTGCCATAGTCATGCAGATTTAGGGCTATTCCAGAGACTCCATCAACCTGCCTCCTGGCTCACATGCTTTCCTCCCAGGCTTCTGTTTCAGCTCTTCAGAGTGGACTCCCAGATGGTGGGATGAGGGTTTTCTGGAACATGGAATCATGGCGTTTTCCTTCTCTTTCTCCTGCAGCACGATACCAGAATGAATTAGCTGGTGTAGACACCGAGCTGCTAGCTGAGAGATTTTACTACCAGGCCCTGTCAGTAGCTCCCCAGATTGGTGAGTGGACTCATTCTGGGGCCTCCCAACCCGGTAGGATTTTCTAAAGAAGACAATGTTGTTTAGATGGTGGGCAGGTCATGTTCACATCCCCAGCCCCTCCTCATCCTTGTTCTCTTACATACTTCACCTTGGTTTCACATTCTTCCTGTGTAACACACTCAGAGGGGGATGGAAGGGGAAGAGAAGTGGGAAAGTTTTGAACTAAGAGGGATGGATACAGAAGAAAAGGAAGAGAGAAAGTGGCTTCCTTTCCTTGAGCTCTCTATAGGAAGAGGAGCTTTCATACTTTAGTTGCCTCTCAGGAGGTAAGAAGGGGTAAGACTCCTTTGCAGGGCTCAATGCCTGTAGCTCAGCAGCTAGGGCGCCAGCCACATACACTGGAGCTGGCAGGTTTGAATCCAGCCTGGGCCTGCCAAACAACAGTGACAACTCCAACCAAAAAATAGTGGGGCATTGTGGCGGGTGCCTATAGTCCCAGAATACTTGGGAGGCTGAGGCAAGAGAATTGCTTGAGCCTAAGAGTTTGAGGTTGCTGTGAGCTATGACACCACTGCATTCCACTGAGGGCGACAAAATGAAACTGTTGGCTCGGCACCTGTAGCTCAAGTGGCTAAGGCGCCAGCCACATATACCAGAGCTGGCGGGTTTGAATCCAGCCTCGGCCCACCAAACAACAGTGATAACTACAATCAAAAAATAGCTGGGCATTGTGGCGGGTGTCTGTAGTACCAGCTACTTGGGAAGCTGAGGCAAGAGAATCGCTTGAGCCCAGGAGTTGTAGGCTGCTGTGACCTGTGACACGATGGCACTCTACCCAAGGTGGCAGCTTAAGGCTTTGTCTCAAAAAAAAAAAACAACAAAAAAAACCTTTACAGGGAATGGTGGTGGTGGTGTTGGATGTTGAAGGAACACTCAGAGATGAGAGACTGAGTAGGATGGAAGAGAAGGCTCCACATAGTTCTGTCAACCTTGGAAGAGCCACAGGGGTGGCACCCCATCCATGGAAACCCCTGGCAGGCCAAGCAGGCACAACCTGGTGGGAAGTAAAAAGCAGTCAGTAATCTTCCAAAGCAGTGGTTCTCAACCTTCCTAATGCCACGGCCCTTTAATACAGTTCCTGTGGGTTGTGACCGCCACTCTAAAGGAATAAGACTAAGCTGCTCATCGCCCAAGATACTATAGTCACTTGCAGACCCAGTGTTCTCCCCATAAGTTTCCTGATCTTAGCATTGGTTGTGCCTGGCAGCTTTGAATGAGTGTTGTGGCTTAAGACTGGGTTCTCTTTCTCTCCAGGAATGCCCTTCAACCAGCTGGGCACCCTTGCAGGCAGCAAGTACTATAATGTAGAAGCCATGTATTGCTATCTACGCTGGTGAGTATTTGCCTGCTTTTTCCCCAGGCTTGGTTTTGTGCCCATATCATTCGTATTTTTCATTTCTGTCTTCTCTTTTCTCCTTCTCCAGCTCTTGGCTGAAATTGATAGGAGAATGCTAAGACCAAGGGTTCCCTCCATTTGGGTACCTTGGCACAGTCTGCTGCTTTTCAAAATAGCCACTTGGGTTTGTAAGCACTTGGGCAGCTAAAGTAGCCACTCAGTATCCTATGCAATATATAGATTTCTGTCTTCCTGAAGAAGGAAATAAATATGATATAGTTGGTAAAATGTTGCCAAACTGGCCTATGACAAGGACTTCAGAATTCTAAGCTTGGTTGTCTTTTTTTTTTTTTTGAGGCAGAGTCTCACTGTGTCACCCTCAGTAGAGTGCTATGGCATCACAGCTCACAGCAACCTTAA